CCAGCATGCTGGCTGGGGAATTCTGGGAGTTGAAGTCCACCCGTCTTAAAGTTGCCAAGGTAGAGAGACACTCTGCTAGAGCATCACATAAATAATGTGATATGTATCAGTCATTCTAAACAAGATTTTTGTACATTACAAACTATAAATCAGGAATTTGGTAGCACCTTTTCAGACTGAACGTTTCTTTAAAGGCATAAACTTTCATGAATTGTAGCTCACTAGATGCAGTGAAGTAACTTGCCTCATACAGGATTTAAATTGGGATGTGGGGTGAGGGAGGGAAAGACGGAAGACAGAGTAGTTATGCAGGTGTAAGTTACATGTAAGATAGACTACAAATACATAATGAACAATCATAATGTGTTAAAAATCTGTTAGTTTGTGGGGACCTGAATCCTTTGGATGTATGTGAGTTCAGCAATCTCTGTAATGTAGTAGAGTGTTCTGAAAGATTGAAATGCTCTGATATTACTTTGTCCTTGCTTTGAGTTCTGATGTCTATTAATTATTTTGTGCAAAGTTTGGCCTGTATCTTCTGTAGAATCCAGAGGGGCATTGTTAGCAGATGATGGCATATCTCACATGTTCTTCCTTTAATGTGAAGAATTAATGGATAAAAGTTTGTCCTCAGAACTCAAAACAAGTAATATCAGAGCATTTCAACTTTTCAGGACACTCCATTACAAATCTCAAAGTAGCCGTCTTGGGAAAAAAGAAACTTCGCCAGCACAATTGAGTGATAAATTGCTGAACATCAAACGGTTATATACATCAAAAGATTTCAGGGTATCTCTGAAGGTTGCAACAATTGTAATGTGTGAATTGATTCTGAACACATTACAATTGTCAATTCACATGGTACTTGTAATCTGTCTCACATAACCATTCTGTCTTCCCTTCCTTTCCTTCCCCATCTCAGTGTAAATCCTGTATGAATCTGATGAAGTGACTGTAGTTGACAAAATCTTATGTCTTATGATTAACAAGTTTTACTTAAAAAGTGCTACTAGACTTCTTCTGATTTGGGGATAGTATAGACTAACATGGATTTCCACCTACAATGTTTATCATTATAAACCTCAAGCAGATGGAAACTTTTTTGAGTGGGCTTCTTAAACTCTCAAAGACTTCAGATTTCCTTCTTGCAACCACACGTGTTTTAAAACAGATGACTTGCTTTTATAAAAGTTGGGGTTTACTTCATATGATTTATGCTGCCTGATACAATCTAAAGTTCATTATCCTTTTCTCTATCTTGTTAGCATCTTCTTAAACTCTCAAAGACTTCAGATTTCCTTCTTGCAACCACACGTGTTTTAAAACAGATGACTTGCTTTTATAAAAGTTGGGGTTTACTTCATATGATTTATGCTGCCTGATACAATCTAAAGTTCATTATCCTTTTCTCTATCTTGTTAGCATTCCCTTCATTCCAAGCTTTGCACAGCCTTGTGGGTAGAATTTAATACCGGAAGATTCAAAAATTTCTACGGTCATGAATTTGCCCAGGTTCAGGTGGGTTTGCTGCTGAAATTATTTCTTTTCCTCCTTTGCTGAGAATTTATCTATATTCTTTGTGGTATTTATTTGTTATCTCTTCCACTATAATGTTCCTCCATCCAATCCATTTATTTTAGGGCGGAAGTTCTCAAAGTCATGAGTTTCTTTTAGAAGGTTCACAGAAAGGTGGCAGAACATCTTTAAATTTATTGGGCTTTTTTTTTTTTCTTACTAAAACGTGGTCAACTGATCAAACAGGCTACAAACCTTAGGTCCCAGGACTTTTAGAATAGCTTTGATGCAGTCTATTGTACTCATTTTACCTCCAGTATTAAATAAGTCCATATCATCCCTTCAAAAAAAATCCAAAATCTAATTTGGCAGTAGGTTTTGTTAGAACCCACCAAATACACAAACAATTGGATAAACATTCAAGATCATCCAAATCTCCTTATTGGACATTATTACAAAACATGTTCAACCACATCCTTTGAATTGTTTTTCTTGGATTTTAACTGCTTATTTTAGAGCGTTAGCTGCTTTGAGCAGACTGAAAGGCAGAGTATTAATAATGACAAATGAAGGAGGAGAAAGGGAAAATGATAAGAGGTAATAAAGTCTGTACTGTCAGAATCTTCAACTGAAGAGGAAGGAAATTAGGAGAATTGCCCTGCTAGCTATCATTTTTATTTAAAGCAGCTCCTTAATAAAATAAAACCTGGATGGAGAAAAGATGGCAGAGGGTCATATGCCATCCTTAAGTGATGTTTGCTGATTTACAAGTTGTCCCAGGTTCCAATGATGTGAGTGTGTCTTTGTGTCTCCCTTTCCTTCTTTTTCCTCCATTGTGCGCCCTTTCTTCTGTCTCCCCTACAGGTCACAGAAGTGGAGGTGATCATCGCGATGAATTATCTCCCCATTATAATAGGCAGTGCCATTGGAGGCTTGTTCTTGCTTATTCTCTTCATTGTAGGACTTTATAAGGTAAGAATTGCTTTATTTTAGAAATCCCTAGCAGTTTGGAGGAACTGGGAGTTTGGCTCTTTCTGTTCGGTTGGCTTAAAAAATGACTTGATCAGGAACATTTAAAACTAGCATTGCTAATATCCAAAAGTTCTTCAGCTCATCAAACACTGTTTTGTACTGACCAAAGTATATGGTGCGGCTATAGTTCTCTAGGATCCGGGATGGTTTAACTTGGGATGTTAGAAACTAAGCCTAGGATTTTTTGCTTGCAAATCATGGACCATGCCACTGAGTGGAGATCATTTCCCAATTGTTGCCCTGCTAATGGTTGTTGACGTTGTCTCTGGCATGGAAAATGGTTTCACGGCTCCAAGAAGGAATTTGTGGATTTCTTAAATTCTTAGGAATTCTTAAATCTGAATTAGCTGCTCTACAATGTTTTATAGAGTTTGAAAAACAGTTATATCAGAAGAACAGCATCTTTGTGGGCTGCCTTATCTTTTAAGTTGCTTTGTGGTATTTAGATTTTCCTGAAATACGTTTCGGGAGAAGGGAGAAAAAATATTTTTATTTTTATAGTGTTTAATGTATTATTTTTATAATAATTTTATATTTATATTTTTGCAATGATTATCAATAGCTCATTGCTTTCCTTGGGCTCTCTTTCACACAAACATATGGGAGGATAAACTAAAGTATAAACTAGTAATTTTTATATTAGGATTGGGATCTTCTCCCAGAGCAGAAACTTGGGAATTATAAAATGTGGCCTTATCCACTCCACAGAAGGACTCCACAAAATGTTCTCATTTAGATGGGGATGCAAATCCATAACATGAAGATCCTCCCTCCTGACCAGATTCGATCCCATTTTACTGTAAAGAGACTGTTCATGCAAAAGCCTTACACAATCCGGTAAAACTAAATTTCAGATACGAATGGATAGTGCTTAAATCTCCCATTAGAAGAGAATGGCCTTACAGATAGTCCCCAGTTTAAGAATGAGTTCCATTCCCAAGGTCTGTCTTCAAGCCAAATTTGTATGTAAGCCAGAACAGTGTTATAGTATAATACTGTATAAGTAGTATTGTGTAATGAACTTGAACCGTTGTGTATTTAATTTGAATCATTGTGTATTTAACTCAAATTTTGCTACAATAGGCTCCATTTTTAATTATGGGTCATCCGTAAACTGGGCGTTCTTAACCTGGGGCCTACCTGTATTATATTAATTAGGGCTAGATTACTTGTGTTTCTAGAATTTTTTTTTTTTAAATTTTGCAACATACAAAATTCCTAACAGTGTTTATGTGGGATAGCTTATATTTAACTGTTTAGCTCACAAGTGTTGCACAGCTTGGCCTGAACTGAATTATATCAAGCTGCTTAGATCTGTTTTTTTTAAATTAAAGCAGTATTAACTACTTGTAATAAATCAATCAATAGATAAATAAGCTACTAATAAATAAACAAGCACCTCCAAACTAACCTTGTTTATCTGTTCCTTTAATAAATGGAAAGGAATGGTATATGATACATAATGGTACATATGGTACATAATGATACATATGGTACATAAATGGAAAGGAATGGCATATGATAAACTATGAACAATATTTAATATGCATCCTGTATTAAAAATTGAGGCTGTCAAAATGGAAGATTGCTGGAATAGGCCTGGGAGGCAGTAAGTTGCCTCAGACCAAACTCATAAAGGCGAAGCATTTCTACCTTCTGCTTCTAATGGTTTCCCCTGCTCTGCATTCCAGTGTGGATTCTTCAAACGTAATTATAAGCAGAAGATAGAACTTCAGGAAGAAAATGAGAATGCATTACAAACAGCTGACAACCTAGAGGATGGTGCTGAGAAAGAAGGTTCTCAGATGGGGGCCGACAAAGAGAATGAAACCAAACTCTTTACAGAACCATCGAATAAAGAAAATGAGGCTCAATGACCAAATCGTGTTCCTCTCCAGAGACTACAGCCAAGGCTACTTGATATAAATGCTCCATGTGAAAAAAAGGGAGACTTTTTGGTGCTGGCAATGAAGACTTTTATAAATGAAAAAAGGAGCTATGATTGCATTTATTTCAGGGGCTTCTACTGGCCGTCTTGGAAAGAGAGCCATAATCTGTATTTGTAGAGGCCGTAGATGACGGGTACACACGATCAGATGGCCAGAACAAGATTTAGGCAGGAACTGCATCTCTCTAAACAAATGTGTTTGTCTGCGTCCTCTGCTAGCCCCTTGATCCAAGACAAATCAGCTGTTTTGCGCACATATTGTTTTTAAGGCTCTTTTCTAGAGAATAGCAGATTTTTGTCCTTTTTTCGTCTATCAGTTGCACACCAGAAATAGGTAAGACTTAAAATGGGAACTTTGCAAATCAGTGTTGCTCCCCCTCTCCCCACTTGGCAAAGGACAAAAGCAATTCTCTGGAATTCTGGACAGGAACCTAGCTACAGTCCATTAGATAAATAAATTCCCCTCTGAGATTACAGGGGCCAAATCCAACAACCAGTTTACCACTTCCACTTTCTTACCAGACTCCGAAATCCTGATCTCAGGAACCCTCAAAAGAGTGGGAGGAGAGGAGACAGAATGGATAGGGCCAGGAGCTTCACCATCTGAAGTACTGTTGGCCTTGCAGGTGTCTCTAAATACTCTTGATCTGATTTTTTTTTTTAGATTTTTTTATCCCATCTTTATTATTTTTATAAATAACTCAAGGTGGCGAACATACTTAATACTCCTTCCTCCTCCTATTTTCCCCACAACAACCACCCTGTGAGGTGAGTTGGGCTGAGAGGGAGGGACTGGCCCAAAGTCACCCCGCCGGCTTTCATGCCTGAGGCGGGACTAGAACTCGCGCCTTCTGGTTTCTAGCCTGGTGCCTTCACCGCTAGACCAGACTGGCTCTTCCCCTTTTAATATGGGAGGGAACATGCACTCCACCCCAAACATTGAAACCAAATACAGGAAGGGTAGCAAATGATGCTCCCTCTTGCCAGTCTGTTGCCGACTAAGCCCTTGGAAATATCAAAGCATTCTGTCATCAGAAAATTTGGAGCAGAACAGAATCCATAAATCAGGATCCAGCTTAAAACAAAAAAATAGGCAGTGTATGTGGCATCAAACCTATGTGGCTTTCAAACTCAAGGATTGTCTGAACTGTTCAGTACATTTGTTTTGCACTGATTATTGATCTGTGTTAAATTAAAATATTTTGGGAAGGTTTGTTGAATTTGGGCTTTATTTCTCTTTCCTGATCATACTGATCTTTTCTTACAATGTTACAATGTGCTTTTAAAAAAAAAATACATATATTAGTAATGTATTTGCCACAGTGTCACTTTTTCAGAACATCTCTATAGTAAAGGTAATGTGAAAAGATGAAATTAAAGTGGTAAACAGTTTCACAGACAGTGGCCAAAATAAATGGCTGTTTTAGATCATTTTTACCTTAATAAATGGAATCAATTTTCCAGAACCAAAAAAGGTTCACATTTTCAGAACCTCTGCATATCACAAATCACTAATGAAATTCCCCTAACTTTGAAAAGAGGTTTGCTGTGCTGCTTTTTGGGGGGAAAAAATCAAGGTTAAGCATTGGTGTATATAACAATAATAAAAAAACATCCCTTCTCACCCCGATGGGTGGTCTGTGTCTTCCTCAATCTCGGGTCCTCTACCAGAGGCCTGGGAGTTGGAGGGTCCTGCGCAGAATCTTAGCCGTTCCTAGCACTGCACT